AGCGGCAAACGGACGTCTGCCACGACCAATAGAAGCTGTGAAAGGGTGCGGCGAGCGTTCAGGTTCACAGGCAGCAGTCCGCAGATAGGGAGATGTGATTGGACGGCCGAACGAGCCAAGTCGATGCTTGAAATCTTGTTGGCTGTAGAGCCCGGTAGGACAGCACCGTTATGGCCCCGCCCACTCGCGGAGGCCCCACCCTTCCCTCGGACGCCTGGCGCGCTAGTCCCGCTGGCCCTCACGCCAGGAGGATTGAGTTGCAGCCTTGGCGGCATCGGGGTTTCCCGGCTCAGCACATTCTCCCTCACCCCCCAGTCGCCCCGATATTAATAGACATGCCTCGGCCCAACCAGCTGGCTTGGAGCCTGTCCCCATGCTCGAAGTGTCTCCCTTCATCTCTCCAGAAAACATTCAAAACAGCTGGGAGCCTCGATGTTTCTGACTGTGAAATGGGGATGGTGCTCCCTGTTTCCCACCAGCACAGTGCAGGAAAAGGGTCGGGAGGAGCCCGAAAAGGCAGATCCCAGAGCGGCCTGCAGCCACCATTATTATCGTCATCTCCGTTGTATATGTGAGGAAACAGACTCAGAGAGGGTCCGTGGCTTTCCCAAAGTCACACAGCGCCCAAGCGGCGGAGCCGGAACGCGAACCCCGGATCTCCGCCACGGGATCCATCCTAGTGCCCCAAAATTCTGCAGTCTCCTAACCCCAGGACAACCTCCTGCCTGGTCCCGATCCGAGCGCCCTCGCCCCCATCCGGCCCCTCCCTCCTCCCCCATATTTAGCGCGAATCCGATCCGGGGCTGGGCTGGGCGCTACTTAACGCGGCCCCCATGTTCTGCAGCTCTCCGAGCGGAGCGGAGCCAGGAGCCCGAGCAAGATGATGATGGTTATGCAGCCCGAGGGTCTGAGGGTCGGGGAGGGGCCCTTTGCGGGCGGCGGCGGCGGGGGCGGCGAGTACATGGAACAGGAGGAAGAGTGGGACCGCGACCTGCTGCTGGACCCGGCCTGGGAGAAGCAGCAGCGGAAAGTGAGTGCTAGCCCATTTCCTGATGGCAAAACTGAGGCCCGAGAAGCCAGGCGGTTTGTGCCTAGCATCTCAGCAGGTCAGGGGCAGAGCCTGTCTTAACCCTCCTCATGCCACTTCCTAGCCCAGGCTCTGCCCACCAGGACTCTGATGTTCCCTGGGGCTGGAAGAGAGGGCTGGGGACCCTCATGAGGGGTTTAGGACGACGAAAAGAATTTCTGGAGTCCCTGCATCCTGGAGTTCATTCCCCAAGGCCCACTGCTCCACTTCTGCTAATGAATACGGGGTGGGCAAAGCCGTGGAGATCCGCGTTGGGTTGGGGGGGGAGAATAATCATTCTCCCCACACCCCCTACTCTCTAGTGAAATACTCCCAGACCCCACCTGGGGGCTTGCAGCAGGGCAACTAGTGGTCTTGAGTGTGTAGGGGAAGGGGTAACTGTCCCAGACCCCCTTCCCACCCTCTCTATATTCTCTCCAGCACAGGGTCCACCGTCACTCTATCCCAATTGTCAAACGAGGAAACTAAGGCCTAGAAAGGGGCTGAGATAGGACCCAAGTCATATACTGTCAGAACACAGGAACTACCCCCCGAAATCTGAGGGTCTTTGCCCATTGCTTGCCCCACCCCCACTCTTTCCCAAGATACCCCTCCCCACCCTAAGGCCCCCCTCAAGTCTGCTGAAAAGGCCACAAGGTTGGGGAGGAGGGGAGCCCTGGGTTCCCTTACGCGGTAACCTGACTCTCTGGCCAGATGGACACTTTGTGCTGATGCAGCGCCTTGGAGGAGCTAAGAGGGGCACATGGGCAGCTGCTGCCCAGGCCCAGCCTTGTAGGGCACTCAGGCCTCCCCTCCCTGATCTATTTTCACTCTTAGACTTTCCCAAGTGGAGAGGGCAGGACACCTGGGGACCTAAAAGAGAAAATGATCTGGGCTGGAGTGAGGAAACTTTGGAGAGTGGCAGGCCAGGGGTAGGGAGGGAACCGTGAAGTCATTAGTCCCTGTTCAGCGTTTGCCAACAGTGTATGACTCCAGGAAAGGGCAGGGAGCAGGGGTGCTCAGTGGAATCTGCAGGATCTGAGAATCCCAGGATTTAGAATCAGAGCACTTCTGCTGGGTTAGATGACAGGAGATGACCCCAGGAGCTGGGAGGCTCAGCTGACTCGGCTAGGGTGCCCCGGGTGACACGCCTCCCCCCAGGCTCTTCCTGCACCTGTCTCCAAGCAGGGCTGTGGTCCTTGGGTCTAGCCATCTCCCAGTGATGTCATCCCTGCCCCTGGCTCCAGCTGCCATCTGCTCTGTAACAATTCTGATCCCTGCCCCTACCCACCCACGCCTCTCCCAGATCCAGGTTTACATGCCCCTCATAAGACACAGGCTAGTCTGTAGCTTGCTTTCATCACTTAAAACATCAGGAACATCCTTCCAAACCATCTTACAGCCACCATTCATTCATCCATTTATTCAATGGTAGGCCCCCTGTAAATTAATCAGCATATCCTAGAGTTGGACATTCTGGTTGTTTCTTTCTCATCCAACATTGTTTATTACAATGCAGTAAACATCTCTGTGCTCAGCTATAGTCCCACCCCATCCCGGTTTCTCCACCATATCTTGGAGCAGTCCTAGCTCCTTCCAACTGATACCTAAGTGCTCTTTATTCAACCTCATTCAGAAACATGCATTCTGTATTTCTTAGGTCCTACTATGTGGTAGGCACTCTTTTAGGTGTCAGGAATTCAGCAGGGGACAAAATAAAGTCCCTGCCTCAGGAAGCTTACGTTCTAGCCAGGGCAAATGTTTCTGTCTCATCCACTTGATCCTGCCCCTCCCACTCACTGAAACTTTTCTTCCTTCACTCTCGTCTCAGTTCCCACCTGCTGTCTTCTTTCTGCTCTGCCAAGCCATTTGTCTCCACTCTGTAACCAGAATGAGCTTTCTAAAACACAGTTCTGCCCCTCTCCCTCCTCTGCCTGAAAACTTCCCTGATTCCCTGTTGCCCTCAGGATCAAGTTCAAACTCTGGCTTAGCACTCAAGATCGTGCATGACCTGGCCCCTGCCACCCCTCCGGCCTGCCTCTCATCACTTATTCCCAAACACCCCCAGAGCAGTGCCCAGAGAGCTGCAGCTCCACAAACCTAGCAACTGTTTCTCGTCGCCAGGCACTTGCCCATGTGGCTGCCCCTGCCTGGAATGCCCTTGCCTGCCCTTCCCTGCCTGAATTACTCCTGCTCTTCCATCACAGTTCTGATCCATAATTAACCTTCCCCAAGAGGTTCCCCCATTTGATTTGAAGGATTCCTCCCCCCGACTCCCCAACACTAGTCTCTCCCAGCATTTCTCAGACTAACATAACTCTTTGTGAGTTCCTTTAGGGCAGGAACCAAATTTCATTAAAAGTCATGTTTATCAAATGAAAGAATACCCCTTCCATGGAGGCCCCACCCAGACCTGCCTTGTCTAGACCCAGAGCATCTGAGACTCCAGGTAGAAGGAACTACAGGGAATTCAGCTGCCCTCTCCTGTGCTCAGGGCCTCATCAGTTAATGCTCAGCACCCACTTACGCACCCGAGGGAAAGAATTCCAAAGGACTTCCAGGGTTACCTCCCTGGAGTATCTGCTTTGTGGTGGGGGAATGCTTTGAGTTCTAGAATCCTGCCAGGTTGGGGGAAGAAGGAGCTGAGACATCATTGAGTCTGACCCCTTATTATACAAGTGGGGAGACTGAGCCCAAGAGAGGGCAAAGGGCACATCCGGGTCATAGAGAGTGAGTAGCTCAGCTAGGATCAGAGCCCATGTATGATTCTACGCTGATGGCAGAATCCAGGGCCTGCAGGTTTGGTTGGTTGGTGGAAACCCGTGCACGCTCTAGGTCACTCCCATCCCCAAAAGACACAGGGCCATATACCATCCCTCCCACCTCAGACAGAGGCTGAGGCCGAGGCACACCCTGGGGGGAGAGGGAGGGCAGTCTCCTCCTGAAAGTAGGTCAGACCAGGCCTGAGTGCCCAGCTGATCCCCTCGGCCTGCAAAGCTCTTGCAGCCTCATGGTCCGCTTGGAGGCCGATGCACGACCTGGGAGGTCAGTGGGGCTGAGATAATAGGTACACAGTCCCTGGGGCAAAATCCTCAGAGCCATCTGTGCTTCAAACCAGAGTTTTTCAGATTTTAGAAAGGCAGTATCAGTCTACATTGACCCTTGGGTCTCAGAGGGCTCCACACTTTGGAGTGGCTGATTTACAATTTTCTAAATCCCCCTCCAGTGCTTGAGACTGGACAAAGCTTTGTGCTGGCAGCGAGGCACTCCAGGTCCAAACTGGGACCTGAATGGGCCCCAGACACGATTTCTCTTCTGGGAAAATAAAGCTCAGAGAGGGAAAGGGGCTGGACCCACATGCACAGCACGTCAGCAGCTGAGCCGGGACTTGAATCCAGGGCCTTGTCTCTGAGAGCTGCTCTGACAAAGGAGCCTGAGCACTGTCCTCAGTACTAGGGTCTGAGCACTGTCCTCTGCCTCCAGACCTTCACTGCCTGGTGTAACTCACACCTGCGCAAGGCTGGCACCCAGATCGAGAACATCGAGGAGGACTTCCGCAATGGCCTCAAACTCATGTTACTTCTGGAGGTCATTTCAGGTGAGAGGTGCAAAGCAGTGCCCAGGGACCCCAGGACCTAGGGGAACCCAGAGAGCTGGGGGGGGTAGTGGCAGCAGAACTCTGGAGAGGACTTGGTGAGGGAGGGGGAAGTTTGAGGACAATGTCTTCATGTCTTCCTCTCATGACCTTT